GATCTTTATACCAAAATTGACGACACCCGTTTAAATGCTACTGAAGAGGTCATCTTGGAAGCTGCTAAGGAGGAGTACAAGTCATTAAGTAACGGGTTGGAATTCCAGTTGAAGCCCCTTGGAATATTTTGAAATATATCCCGTTTGTTTAAAATCTATTTTAGTTTATTATGTGAGTACTAGGTTATTTTCATGTACTAGGTTATTTTCATGTATTTCGTATGTATTTCGTATGTTTAAAATCTAAATTAGTTTATTATGTGAGCAACTCGTATGATTAATTTGAATTAATAAATGCCCATTGCATTAGTTTTCACAATACATCAGAATACATTTCTAACAAGGATTCCATGAACCATTACAAACATTACAACAATTACATGAAAAACAACGACATAATACGAACAAAGCATTAACGTAAAACACAAGTCCATGGGTTATTCTTAACAGAAATTAGAGCGGTCTACATGAAATACTGTTTATTTTTAACAACCTTCCAAACTTCCTCATATTCGAAGTCTCTGCCGTCATGCTCACAGATGTAAAAATCTGTAACAACTTCCAAGAACTCTTCTTCATCCCGATAACTAACATTGTTACGTTTCGCATAATTACATGCTCGATTGAACCATGTCACTTCTTCCTTTACATCCAGCCACTTAGTAACAACATCTGATTTTTCTCTTTTTTGTCCTTTTCCCATCTCGTGGTTAAACAAAGATGTTATGCGAGTCCATTCATCACCAATTAGGCAATGCGGGGGAGCAAGTAATGATACACCATCCTTAACACTTAGCCAACAACGTGTTAGAACTAACACCTCGTTTGTCGTCCATGACCTTTCAGAATTGGAACTAGGTACTTCATTCGAAGAACTTGCTGCATTCGACGACATTTCTAATAATGGGAGTTCGTTTCGTTTAGGTGATTTGGGTGTTTGGTTTTTAGATCTTAAACATCTATTTATATAAATAAATAGACTACGAATTAAAACTTTGACTATGAAATGGTTACATTTGGACTACGATTTTCAGCTTTATGCAGTGATTTATCATGTCAAACTGTCATTTATGTCATGTCACTTAAGGGTTCCACTACGATTTGCAGGTTACTACAGTAACTTGACATTACTGTCTAGTCATTTCAAAGTTGGACTTGTCATTACCGTCTAGTATGTATAAATACCGCTTATAGATCAAGTTTATTAAAAATTAGTTACAAAATTGTTGTTATAATATTATCATGATACAAATTAGGTTGCAAAAGGATCGTTTGTTGTTTTTTTTTTTTTTAATAACAAGTTGTAATTGTTAAAAAAATTATGCAAACTATATTTTATAAAATAAAGGCTTCATTAATTGTTATAATCAACAAACTAAACAAAAATATGAAAGCATAGCAATGTCTTGTAAGATTTAATAAAAATATTACAATACATAATAAGTTTACAACTCGTCATTAGTCTTCATTTCAAGGTTGTTTTATATCAAAATCAGCGTTAAAGGTTTGTGAGCAACTCGCTGAACCACCAGTATTAAATGTCATTTCTGCAGTAGAAATTATGTGACGTGCTCCGCTACCAGACGCCCTTCCAGTACAATTATTTATCGTGTGTCCTATTTGACCACATGTAGAACACTCTTTTATAATTGGACCTTTCGCCTTGCGATGGAATGCGGTCTGTGTTTCTTGGCCTGCCTGGCTGACGTTTATCCATTATTGGTGGCTTAACAATCATCAAATCATCGGGGATCTCCTATTCGGATGGCTTTGGCAGAGGGTTTATTGATTCCTCATATGTTTTCCTCAGTGTTTCGGTAAAGTAAGCATTTAATGCATACCTCGAGCAGTCTTGGTAATTGTTCACTGTTAAACATCTTATGACATGACCACAAGGGATCCCATCAAGTTGCCAATGCCTACATGTACATGTCATATGTTTGAAATCAACAATCACATTTTGTGCCCCCTTTTTGACCTCGCATTTCGTATTTGAGATCATACGAACATCCCATTTCGTAAAAGTTTTCTTATTTTCTTTTACAATTTCATCCACCCAAGGGGTAAGAGTTGTTGTTGCTTCCGCTAAAAAAATAGCCAAAATGAAGAAGTTAAGATCAATAACATCAAAATTAATAAAACATTAATATTAAAAATTTACTTAATACCTGCAAAGTTACGTCTTTGAAACCACCATTGTTGCATTGTAGCACGAAAAAAATCGATCAACATAAGTATTGGCACCTTACGTGCGTGTCTAGATAATGCATTTATAGACTCCGCACTGTTGGACGACATAAGATTGTATCGGTTCCCTTTAAAATGTGCTCTTGACCAAGTTTCTGGATTTATACTTTTTAAGTACTCCCATACTGGTTCTTTTGTCTTTTTCATAACATTCATGGCAACATCAAAATCATCAACTGTGTACGCCCTACACGCCTCCCAAAAAATTCCTTTAACCGTCTTACTCTTGCCGAATCTAGATACTATGTTGAAATACAAATGGACACCACATATTCCATGATGAGCGTGAGGAAAAATGTTGGCAACGGATGTTGCTATAGATGGAGACCTATCAGATATAATTGTAAGCTCCTGCATATTTCCTATGCACTCACGTAGTTTTTGAAAAAAGCATGTCCAAGAATCGGTACACTCATTTTTGCATATACAATATGCAACCGGTAATATTTGGTTTTGTCCGTCCTTAGTAACTGCAAGTAACAACTCGCCCTTTAGGTGAGCTCCATCTACTACTAGGGTCGGCTTACAAAAATTGACAAAAACGCGTACCTACAATATATTGTATATCTATTCAAATACACCAAAACAAATATTAAAAAATTAATATAATATGATAATACTAACCGAGCAACCGAGTGCGACGTACAAAAACTCAAAGCGATCATCAACATCTGTTTTAATATGTGTGACAGTACCCGGATTATGTTTGGCCAAGTTGTGACAATACGCCGGAAGTTTGGTAAAAGAATCTTCTTTCGTACCCCTTAACGACAACAATGCATATTGCTTCGCACGCCATGCCTGATGGTATGAGATATTGATATTCAATTGAGCATTCATATCATTAACAATTTCTTTTCCCCGATAAACTCTACTATAGTCTTTAGCCAAAACATCAGCAACATATTCACCCAAAACATATTTGTTTGCTTGTCGATGATTAGGTTGCAACAATGTTGAAGAACATGTGTGTACATCAACAAATTTATTCACTTGGAAAAGTCCATCATATTTTTTTATTGCTTTTGCTCTTAGTAACCAAGAACAATTTTTCGAAACACACACAACTTCATACCTTGATTTGGTGGATCTACTTGTCCTCATCTGGAAACCTTCTCGAAGACATTTTTTTACCAATACATCGCTTTAAAAGTTCTTTGTTCTTAAATATACTCTCACATTGAATCTTTTGAAGATTCATGTCTACCATTTGTGTTGGGATATCTTCATTAATATCAACTGGTCATGCTGGTACAGGGGGCATACCGTGAAAAAGGTTATCGGGAAACTTAGCTTTAACTTCATCACCCAACTCATCTCTATCGGAATTGCTTTGTAGCTCGGTTATATCTAAACATACATCACCAACATCAACATAATGCCCGTAAACATGATTTTTTTTCATTTTTTTGACTTGATTTTTTTTCTTTTTAGTTTTATCTACCACACGCCTACTTATAACTTTAACTTCTTGTTCGGCAACATCATCACAACGACCACCCACATCATCAAGATAAGTACTAACATCATCATCACCAACATGCTTGTAATTCTCAGGATCCACATAGTGAATAGGTGAATAACTAACATTAACATTTTCAGCAACACTGTGAAACTGAGGTACACTAGGAGTATTGAAAGTACCTATCAGATCGTTGCTCCCTTTATAACTGCATAAATTACCAACAAGCTGGTTTCCAATTTCACCACCCCCATTAACCTCCTCAACTTCATCAACCACCACAAACACTTTCACAGCCCTTCCTCTACTACATTTGATTACGTTTATCAACATTCTAACATCCATGTCTTCAACTATACCTATATAATAATTTAATTCGGGATGGTGGAAACGAAGACTAATTCTATATTTGTCTAACAAACCAATTTTGCTTCTTACCAAAGATACAAAATCATCACTATAACTAATATACTCATAAAATATCAAAGCAAGTTCAGAAATACCTCCCTGTGGACATATGTATTCCAGATTAGTTCTATTAACTTGCCATTTCTCACTGGTTACAAGACAAACCAAATATTCAATCATTTTTTGAGCAAATTGTAGAGAAAGTTCCTAAAAATATAATAACCAAAATGATATTTTTCTACAAAACTTTTTATATAGCAACATGATTTCGTAGTCAAACCAATTCATTTCATAGTCAAACTAAAAAAAAATACAAAAAAAATCAGTATTTCGCAGATAGGAGTGAGAGTATTTCGCAGATAGGAGTGAGAGTATTTCGCAGATGGACCTTCTCCATCTGCGAAATTACCCCTATATATACACAAAAAATTAAAAAAAAAACCACCTGCGAATGTACAAGCACCTAAAGCACAACTGTGCTTTAGGTGCTTGTACATTAGCAGATGAGATGCTGATTTCGCAGATGGGGCATCTCCATCTGCGAAATCGTTGGCTAATTTTGATATTTTTTGGCTATTAGTGTAAATGACTATTTTTATCATTTTCTTTATTTTTTATTATATGTTATATTCGTTTGATCCATCTCTTCTATTGTAAAAGATTATAGATTTCACTTAAATTAAAAAATACAAATATAGTCCTAAGTGAGTTTTAAGAAGAAAAGCTTATCCAAATTATTCAAACCAAATTATTTCATACCAGTAGCTTATCCAAATTGATTAATAGCTATTTAATAAAAACGAATATAACAGGTATGGATATTTCTCAATTTTGATTATTTAATACCAGTAACTAATAGGGTTTTAAGAAGAAAAGCTTATCCAAATTATATTCCGGATTTTTCTAATAAAAATAGACAGAGGGGAGATTTGTCCCTTTGGCCTTTGTTGTACGTCATCCAGATTTAGCTTTCTGGTTTCGCTCGCTAGGGTTTCTCTTCACAAATCTCAATCTAATCGAAGAACAGAAAAGAGAGACCATTAGGCGGTTACAACTAGGGTTCCAGTTTGTTAGATTTTTCTGCTCCCTATCTGCAACATATTAATCAATAAGAATCCTTTTGTATCTTGATTTACATGAATGGATACAAGTTCATGCCTTGATGATCTCAACACCCTCTCATCCTCTTCTTTACCGTCTCAAATCCATCAAAAGTGAGATTATAGTCTTTGCCTCTTCTCAATTGTTTATAAATTGAATTCGATGGTAAATATGTCAACAGGAACATTACAGGATTATCGATTGATCTTCCTTGTTTATTTACGTGTCTTTTTTATATTACATCAATGTCCAATTTTGGTATTTAAATTGAAAAAAAACATGATTTGTTAGGAATTTATGCACACCAACGATGCCTATTGACATATATCAGATCATTAGACGATCATAATCAGACAAATTATGCTCTCTAACTCTGTCATAAGCAGTAACGGACTAAATCAAAAATTCTGCTCGTTTTGTGCTTCATATTTTGGTTGCTTGCACATTTGATGTCTTCTCAGATTAGTTCCTGATAATAAGTTTGTTGTTAAATTGAACTTTGAAGTTGGCGATCTTCTATAAATATGTTTCTTATAATGTTATGTCTTATAATGCTTAAGCAAACGAATGATTTTGTTAGTGATTGATGGCTAGCAGAACTTTCCATTACATATTAGCAATGAATGTACTTTGATACCAGCCATCTCACAGACAATTTTTGTTAGTGATAGAAATGTTCTTCATCTGTTGGCAAGAAGGGAGATAGCTCCTAGAACAGCAAAATGCTTACCAAAAAGGCAGTGGGGAGAAGTTTCTAACCACAAACATCAGTCATTTGTTAAACCTGAAAGTGAAAGAGTGAGGAACTCAAGACGTGAACTTCTTTCATGGTAGATCTATTATTTTCTTATAATATAATTCATAATGCCTCTGAAGAAAAGGAGTAGATTAGCCACAGTGATTGATTAGTTATTTGTTTTTATGTTCCCAGGGTGGAAGCTGAGTCCCTGCGATGTTTATCAGCCAAATATTGTCCTTTGGTCCCTTCTCCTAGGTCAACCATTGCAGCAGCATTTAGTGCAGATGGGAAAATCCTTGCTTCTACTCAGTATGTTGTTAGTAGTCTTTGTTTTGCTCTTTTGTGGCATTTCTTTAACTATATTTATATTGAAATCACTTGTTTTGGGATTTACAGTGGTGATCATACTGTTAAAATTATCGATTGCCAAACTGGAAAATGTGAAAAGGTGTTGAGTGGTCATCGAAGAACTCCTTGGGTGGTAAGATACATGTGCATTACTCACCTTTATCTTTCTCTGATTCAACTGTTGAAATATGTTGATTGTGGTTTTACAGGTTAGATTCCACCCATTGCATCCAGAAATACTTGCAAGTGGAAGTTTGGATCATGAAGTTCGATTATGGAATGCAAATACATCAGAATGCATAGGGTCCCGTGATTTTTGTAATGTCTAATCACTTTCTTTCTCTGTTATTCCAAATAAAATCAAAAACATTTTCTTTTGTTAAATAGTCATTATATATATTCTTATATCTTATTTGTGGCAGACCGGCCTATTGCTTCAATTGCCTTCCATGCTGAAGGAGAGCTTCTTGCAGTTGCTGCAGGCCATAAGGTTTTATTATTATTATTATTATTATTATTATTATTATTATTTTATCAAATCTATTTATAATTTATTATATTGAGTATTGAGTATTGACATAATCTTTGTGTGTGTTTCCAGCTGTATTTGTGGCATTACAATAGTAGAGGAGAAACTTCCTCACCTACTATTGTATTAAGAACAAGACGATCTCTTCGTGCTGTTCACTTCCATCCACATTCTGCTCCATTTTTGTTAACTGCCGAGGTAAAGTAAAAGTAAAAAACACTATTGATATGTCTCTTTAATTATTTTTTACTGACTTTGACTTTGACTTTCCAGGTGAATGATCTTGACTCTTCAGATTCAACAATGGCACCGGCGACATCTCTTGGATATCTGCATTACCCCCCACCCGCTGTATATATGGGAAACATGCATTCCATTGATCGTTTAAGTTTAGCTGCTGAGCTTCCATTGATGCCTGTGCCTCTCTTCTGTTCTCCTGATTCAAGGCCACAACTGCAGATTGGAAACAGAGACAACACGCAATCGGATCGACTTCAAGTTCTTGCAAATGCAACAGAACTGTATGAACAAATGATGGCTTCTTCCGTTCCAACCGAAATGCAAATGGATGTCACTGAGGTACAACCACCACAAATTCCAGATGACTACAGGGAAAGCGGTCCTTCTAATATGGATACTTCCGTCTCCACGGGTCGACCCGCGGACGATCTGTTCAGAGAACGTGTGTGTTGGGAGCTGCCTTTCATGCAAGGATGGTTGGTTGGTCAAAGTCAAAATCAAAATCAAAGTCAAAGTCAAAGTCAAGCTGAACATTCGGGTAGTGGTAATAGGGGGGAGGTTGTAGAGGCTTCGTTAGTTGTACCTTATGGTACAAGGGATGTTTCTTCAAATGCTACTGCTTCAACTTCTTCTTCTAATAGGGTGAGTGGTGTGATGAGTAATGATGGAATTGGAGGTGATAGTTTCCCTATCATTAGCAGAATACAGTCTCAACTTTCTGCATCATTAAGTGCTACTGCTGCTGCTGAGTTGCCTTGTACTGTAAAACTAAGAATATGGCCTCATGATTTTAAAAATCCTTGTGCTTCACTCAAGGCTGAAAGATGTCGTCTCATTATACCACATGCAGTGCTTTGTAGGTAAGCGTACATAAATCATGTTCATGCCTTCAATTACATTTTTTTTACATGTATTGGTTTTGTACTTATGTTTGATGATATTGTATTGTTTGTTAAATGTTATAGTGAAATGGGGGCACATTTTTCACCATGTGGGAGATATCTAGCTGCTTGTGTGGCATGTGTACTTCCACAATTTGAAGGTGATCCAGGAATGGGGATACCAACACAACATAATAATAGTAATAATAATAATTATAATAATAACAATAATAATAATAATCAAGAAAGGGCGGGAACATCTCCAACAAGACATCCCATTTCTGCTCGCCAAGTCATGTATGAGCTTCGGATATATTCGCTCGAGGATGCAACGTAAAATTTCAATTCCTTTTTCTATTTATCATATTTTATATTTTAATATATATGTGTATTTCTTTAATTGAAAATTAATAATGTATTGATATTGATTTGGTGTAGTTTTGGTACTGTACTTATTTCGAGGCCGATTAGAGCTGCTCATTGTTTAACATCTATTCAGGTAAGTGGGTTTATTTATTATATCTAATCTGAAATTCTGAATAAATTTACTTTCTGTTTGAATGTAATTTAATTAATTTAAAAATGTATGCAGTTTTCACCAACCTCTGAACACATATTGCTTGCTTATGGTCGACGTCACAGTTCCCTTCTTAAAAGCATTGTTATTAATGGGGAGACCTCATTATCCATTTACACAGTTTTAGAGGTTACTTCTTTTTTTTTTTTTTTTTTTTTTTTTTTTTTTCTTTTCTAATTTTCTATCCACATTTGTAGATTGATGGTGGTTTATTATTTAAAGTTTAAACATATGGTTTTGGGTTTCAGGTATATAGAGTTTCAGATATGGAACTTGTGAGTGTGCTTCCGAGTGCAGAAGATGAGGTCAATGTGGCTTGCTTTCATCCTCTTGCTGGAGGTGGTCTTGTTTATGGAACCAAGGTCTGTACTTTATCTAAATTTAAAAAAAAAAAAAAAAAAAAACTTTAGTCTATATTTTTATTTTTATTATTTATTTTTGGTTGTAGGAAGGCAAACTTAGAATCCTTCAGCATGATGGTGGTCATGCGCCCAGACCTGATCACTTTTTTGAAGCAAGAGCAGTTGAGGTACAACCATAATGCATGCATACAGGTTGTCTAGACTCTAGAGACTACTTGTATGTTATCTTCATTGATGACTTATCAAACAAAATATGCTACAGAATATATAACTATTTGCTTCTGTATTTTGATTATATATTGTAGGTTCAGGCATATGCTTTAGAATGTTGAACATCAATATTGGGTGGTTATATTTCAGTATTTCACATCTCAGGTGCATACCATAAATCATAATCAAATATATTTATTTCATTACACTTTTGCTTTTGTCAATTGTCAAATGACCATTTTTTTTTTGTTGGCAGGAAGCTAAAACTGATGCAGCCAGGTGATTTTTTTTTACCATCTTTCGTTTGTAGCCTTCCACATGTTTGAGCATTTGCTTGTATTTTAACAACTTGTTGTATACACCCATAAACTTAGTCATTATAAATGACTTCACTTTGGATCAATGTAAATTATTAATACTAGTTTGTCAACTTTTGTTATTAAGATATCTTTGTACTGGTCTAAGTTGGAACTCAATCATTTATTAGTTAATCATGTTTTTATCAAAGTAGTAAAATTATGTGGTATGAATTGGTGACTTCAAATGATTAATTCCATATAGATGATGTAACAAAACTGATGGTTAAAAAGTAGAGTAAAATCAATGTGCACCATTATTTTATCATTTGTGTATTCTTATATAACCTGAACTTGTTAAACAGTTTCATCAAGAGTGTTTATCCAACGTCTAAACAATAATAAGATACGAACCCAAACAATAGCGCTATTATGCTTTGAAAAATGTATAAGATCTGTCAAATCTAAAAATGAAAGGTATTTTAAAATACATATAAAGTGGAATTCAACTCATCTCATGAAATGGTAACTTTAAATCTAACCTATTACTTAAGGTGCACGTTAATTTTATTTATTTATTTGTTGATTTTTTGAAACGACAAATTTAAACTATTTTCAAACTACTTTTTAAATCCATCCATATTTACGATGTGATTTGAACCTTCAACCTCAAGGAGGAATGATAAAACCAGATACCATTGAGTTGGAAAATAAATATCAACATCGAAGATGAACAAATTCATTAGGTTAATTATTGCTGTAAAAAAGCATAACAATTTCTAAACTTCTAAAAAACTCTTATAAATGGCTATTGTAGTATATACTAGGTTATAAATCGACATCTAATTTTCATGTAAGATGTCATGTCATTTCTTTTAAATGTACGTAGGCTAGGACTGGTTCTCAAAAGCTTACCATTTATGAACTATCATTTTAGTCATTAACCATAACATAAAATGGTTTATTGTACAAAATAGCAACATAATGATTTTATTGGTACATTGAAATATATTGTACAAAATAACAACATAGTGATTTTTTCATACATTGAAATATAACAAGTCAGTGTTTTTTTAAGACCACATAGTCTAGGTAACTACTATCAAGGGTTTGCCATTTACAATAATTATTTTAGGCATTATCTGAACAAAATGGTTTTATTGTGCGAAATAGTAATATAATAATTTTTCTATGCATTAAATGATAATAAGTTGAGTTTTTCTATGGTTTTCCCAATTTCATAATATATATATATATATATATATATATATATATATATATATATATATATATATATATATATATATATTATATATATATATATATATATATATATATATATATATATATATATATATATATATTTATTTATTTATTTGTAACCAATCATCTTATATATTGTTGGTTTTGTGAAATCTACAAACCATGTTTATTATCTTTAAATAGCCAACAAACGTATCCTATTATATTAAAAAGGGTATGAACTATTTTCTTTTCATTATTTCCCTACGATATAGAATGTCTAACATGTCAATTTTTATCTTTCACATTTATATTTGAATCTGAACCGTATTTAAAATGACTGTTGAAATGAATATATTGAATTCACATATCATTTCAAGTAAATATCAACATTCACATTAGAATTTCGTAAATCCACATGCAATTCATGTAAACTTATTTATTTATTTATTACGGAGTATTTATTTTATGGAATTGTTGTTTTTATGTTCTGTATTTTGATTCCATTACAATTTAATAGGGAAAATAACTTATCAGCCCAATGAAGTTTCTAAACCGTTCAAAAAACCCCAATCATGTTTTGACCGTTCAAGAAACCCAACGAACTTAACTTTTTGTTTAAAAAAGCCCAACTAAGTTACACTTTTGTTCAATTCTATGGAAGTCATAGAAGAGAAACAAATGATGTGACTTATTATCATATCAGAAAAATGATTTGTAAGACCAACAATGTTTCCAAATCGTTCAAAAAACCACAAGCATGTTTTGTTTGTTTAAAAAACCCAATGAACTTAACATTTTGAATAGACAAAACATGATTGAGGTTTTTTGAACGATTTGAAAACTTTGTTGAACTTTTTTAGACAAAAGGTTAAGTTCGTTGCATTTTCTTGAATAGACAGAATATGATTGAGGTTTTTTAAACGGTTTGAAAACTTCGTTGGACTTGTAAGTCATTTTCCCCAATTTAATACATCATAAGCACATTTCTTTCATTTTAGAGCAACTTTGTCACTTATTGTGCTTTATTCATTTCTTTAAGATATTTCATTCATTTTATAGCAACTTTGTCATTTATTGTGTTTCATTCATTTCTTTAAGACGATTTTTACGTTTTGGACAAGATTAATACATAGACAATACTTCTTGAGCAAATAATAAAGCAAAGAAAAAAGCAAAACAAAGTGACGAATGAAATCATGCGTGCTATTAAAGTTACTTTCAGGGGCGGAGCTATTATATAAAAAGGTGAGTCCTAAGACTCACCTATTTTTTAAATTTTGTTTAACATTTATATAATAAAAAGTTAGGGCATACTTTGCAAACAATTTAGGAGCACCTTATAGTATTGGACAAAATAGAAAAAAATGATGAATGTTTACAAAAAAAACTATTTCACATTGGATATACACATAAAGAGATGTAATTTTTTGATGTTATAAAAAATAATGATGAATGGTAGACACTTGAACAACAATACAACTTGTCTCACATTGATGGTTGTAGGAAATGTTTGTTGCAAGTGGGACTGTTTAAAAAGAAAAGAGACTCAATCGTGCAAAGTGATTTTTTTTTCTTTTTCCAAAAACCCCGATTTAGGTGTCCAAGCTGTTTTTTATTGGTTTTAAGGAGTTTGACAGCTTGGATGAACTATATTTTGCAAATAGGCTAGTTTTTACTGGTTCGACCTGTCACAGGTATTGTTTGACTTTTTCATTTTTATATTCTAGATCGTTAATGCTTATATCCAATGTCATGTAGCATAGAAAAAAAACATGTAATGTAAATCGTGACGTTGATGTATGAACTTTGAGTCTTTGACTAAGTAATGTTGCGGTGGACACTTCTTGATGACATAATACTACCTTCCACTAGCGTGATGCCTTGTTGGCACGGAGGTGTGACACACGTCGTTACACGGCTTGGACAAAAAAAAATCACCCTCCATATTTAGATATAAAAGAAAAACAATTTAAAATTAAATTACACTTAACCTATAAATATAGACCAATTGAATACGATTATATAATAATCTACCACTACAATCCTTAATTATATTAACTATTAGCCAATTCTTTTCTCTACTTTTTGATAGCCAAAACACCGAGGAACAAAACTCAAACACACCATCCAACCGAAACCCAAACTCCTCAAACCGAGATTAGTATGCTTCAAAGTTCAGCAATTCTCCAAAATCCTTTCATCAAAACTTGTTCCAACAACCCTTTCAACATAACATTTTCCAACAACCAATCACATTCCCATAATCCAACGACAAGGAATTCCTTTTCAACCGGCTAACCCCCAAGTTGAGCTTGAGTTGGTATTGGATTTGCAACCGGGTAAACACGACAGTCCAAATAACCTAAAGCTTCTAATAATAATAAAAAAGAAGAAAAAAACCAAGACGAAACATATAGGCCTTAAAATTTGGTTGAAAGTTGAGGAAACCAACATTAGCACGTGCTTAGATATCCATCTCCCAAGAGAACATTACCCTCCAACCACCTAAACTAAAATAGTAAAATGGTTTTTGGGATCAAATATGAACAAAGGCTAATCGACCGCCTAAAGCAGTGAAATGGAATATGAACAAAAGCTAGTAATATAAACAATTTGTACTAAAACTACTAAGATGGATGAAATTACATGCAACATAACTAAATAAATACAGGAAAAAACAAAACCAAGTCGAACTAAACCCAAAAATGGGCAAAAAAAAAAAAAAAAACAGAGCAATAAAAGAAGCAACATTCCACCAGTCATCAGTCAAATCCTCCTCCAAATTCCAAACAAAGCATGAATGCTTTCACCACTCTCTGCCAAGCAAAAAATCACACGGGAATCAAAGGCCTAAAAGTCGAAAATGGGGCCCGTGTCAATAAATGAAGAATCTGAGGAGAAGTCGGTCAACCCATATGACCCATGTCCACCATCTATGAACCCTGGTTCAACAGGCTGGTTATCAAAAATCCAATCATACCGATAGTCACCTAACCCACCCCCACCAGGGCCAGCCAAAAGCGATGACGGGTCGGGTTCAACCGTAGCAACAGACTGTTGGGTCGCAGGCCAACTGAGCCCATTATCCATTGCTGGAGTTCCTTGATCGGGCAAACTCTGGGTGGCATAATCGGAAACAGAAATTGACGGGCTATCTACACGGGTTTGAGAAGGAACAGGGTGACCCGCTGGATAACTTGGCTGACCGGATGCCGGGCCGGGTCGGGAAGATGACGGTGGGTAAAACGGGCTAGAATTTACTTGAGATTGAACATTATTAGGGTTTGAGTGACAGTGAGTTGAGAATTGAGGTTGTAGAGGCCATTGTTGATTGACTAATGGATTTACAGTTGGCAATGTGGATGTAGATGTGTGAGGGGGATAAGAAACCGGAGTGTGGTTGACCGGGTTTGGTTGTAAAGATCCTGAATACGCAGGGTAGTTTTGTTGTCTATTGGGATTTCCAGAATTACCCCTGTGTGGGTGTGAAACGTAAGGGTGGTGCCGGTTGGATGTGGGTGTGGGTGAACCTGCAGCCCCACCAACCGAACCTGTTCTTTTAAATACTGGCAAGTGAAGCTGAGTGCCATGGTGTCCCTTACTAATACCACCCCCATGTCTTGTAAGCAAATATTGAGAAACCAAATCTGGATGTAATTTGTTCCTTGATGGAAAAACGGGTCTTCGAATTTGGTTCATCACATTTGGGTGTCGAAAGTTAGCCGATAGGTGGCGTGCACGGATCGGCCCGGATCTTGGTGGCTGAGCCATCTGGAGTGTTGGTGTCGGTGGTGGTGGTGGTGGGTGCAGCCCATTAAAGAGTGCCACGTCAGCGGCCTTAGGAACGGTTCGTTGGACAGCTTTACTACCATTTTTGGCGTTTTTCCTCTCGTGTTTCCATAACTCATCTTTATCAGTGGCATGACAATGGTCCATAGGTGCACTGCCATTGCCCCAATACACACATGGAGCAAGTGAGTCACAAACATAACAGTAGCACTGAAATTCAAATGAAATGGTAGAGATCAAAAGGGCATTATGGTAATTTTTAGAATTTTTCTGTA